TAGGTCAGCTGCGTGCATCTTCAGGGTAACATGGAACAAGTCCATGGAGAGTTTTAAAAGCTTTCAATAGATTTGGCTCAGCTCCTAAGAAAGTTGAACCATAAAGAAAACTGACACACTCACCCCAATTCTGTCATGCCATCTACAAATTCCTTTTTGCTGAATTCACACTGAGTAGCTGCCCTGAACTTCCAGGCTACAACCAAAACGCTGATACTGGCAGGGTCCAGGCTTAAATCATCACAGAACTGTTGAATCCCATCAATGCCAATTTTATTTTCATCCTGTGGGTCTGCAGTTCAAAGTACAAAAAGGAGAATTACAGTTCTTAAACTTTCCTACGGAATACTGACCAGAGTACTTTTGATATGCTGCACTGTAGACATTACTGTTTTTGAGTACTTCTCAAACTTTTTATTTGGACATTAATTCAAATTTTAATCAATTTGAAAATGTGAATTTAAAGCAGATTTTAAAATCTTCCCAAGTCTCTCTGACAATCTTGTTTTTAAATTACTATTGAAATACTTGCTTTTTATTCTTAGATTCCCCCCCTCCCAATCACCATATGAAAGAAAGAAATGAACAACAGGGAAGATGCTTGAGAATAGGGAGAAATCAGTGAAACCGATTCTCAGTGAAGTGTTATAAAAAGTACAATAAATGAGCATGTACTAGTTAGGAAACAGCAATAGGTGCATAAAAGAAATGCACTAGATGAGGTCCACAGATCTTTCCCATCCCCACCCCTCCAGGGACACAAAAGAAAAGGACCTATTTCAACTGAGATCACCAAGGTTTAATTACTGTAAATTTAAAAAACAAAAATTAGCCTTGCAGATGGACCAAATCAGCGTGACAGTATTTACAGTGCTCAGCACTACAAGACCTCCATCTAGATTAGGCTCCTCAGAACTACTTTAATTGTTCAATAATAAGCTATTTTTATAGGGTAGAAACACACTGTAATAGCCAGTGTCTGGTTATGTCATAAGCCTGAAATTTAACTTTTGTTTTAAGTAAGTAAACCTAAACAAATGCAAAAATCCTCTGTGGAAAATTATATTTGATTCATAATTGAACCCAAAGAAATTAAACACTTCATATGTAAACAAGACTGCCGTTTTACTTTAGTTTGGAACCCGACAGACTCTCTTTAAAATATAAGTTACACAAATCTAAAGTAATATTCTCAAAATTATACTTCTACTTTTCACAGTTGTGCCAGTTACAAAATACAGAAGTTATTCCATCATTTGGAAAAATAAGTCTTAAGCATTTATTTGACTAAAATAGCCACTGCATGAAACATATAGTTAAAACAATATTTTCAATATATCACAAGGTTGACATTTTGGATAAATACTTGGTATGATTTTATCCTTCCCTAGGCATGGGTCTTACAATCTGATCTGACTGCAAGATTGGGGCCTTCATTTTAGGGTTCTCTTTTGCTTCTCAAACTCTTCTAATGATACAACAATAGTAACTAAAGAATTGATCCTATAAATAGCCAATAGTTAGAACATCAAGTAGTAGTAGTTGATGCAGCAAAAACATGTTATTAAAGTATCTTTATTCCATCACAATCGCTATGTGTAAAAGTAGTGAATAAATCTTTCCAGGGTATTATTTGCAAAAATCAAGTTCCAGGATAACATCTAAATGCATTTCTTAACTTCCTAAAATTATTCCCAGATATTTAAAGAGTCTGTACTGGAGTTAATGGCCAAACTCTGACTGGCTTCAACAAACAGGATTATTCCATCTTTAGCATATTCATAACACCTGAGCAATTGAGTAAACAATAAAAATGAACAAGTGTAACTTTGGTTCAGATGTTGAATATTAAATAAAGAGAACACTGAAACAAGAACAGCTGAGTGGACAATGAGATATTACCTCACATTTCAAATACAATGCTAATGCAACCTACAGATTTTTGTAGGTTCTCTCCATTGTAATCCTCTGTAGATCTAGAGCTAGGATTACAATAGACCCTTTATCAGGCAGAAAGTTTAGGTTATGGTTAAGAAAGAAAAAGGTGTTAAACCAATTTAAAAATGCACTGTCATGACTTTTCCTTTTAAATTCTGGGAAAGCGATGTTTAGGTGTACATTCCCCCTTCATTACTTTCATTTTTAGCACTACAGAATTGTGTTGATGCATGAAAACAAAAACCCGAAACTGACTAAATTATTTTAATTCATAAAAGTGAAGATGGAAGTAGAAAGTACACAAAAAAACACCGTGAAGAAAAAAGATCCTTCAGTTTAGACATTACTACTGACAGTTACAAATTTAAGAAATTAAGTATATCTTTCACTTGACCATCTCCTTTCAAACTACTATACACAGATCAAGAAAAAACATTTAAATATAAGCAAAACTAACCAAAAGAAGTATCATAGTAATTAAACTTCTATGGGTGCACCCAAAGGAAATGTTCTAGTGCTGCTCGAGTGCCAGTGCACCTATAAACACATTACGACCATATGTTTTTTAAAATTAAAATTTTGAAGATGACCCGTATGTCAAATGGAATAAGTATTCATGTTATCCACAATCTGAAAAGCAATAGTATTAATAATCGTATAGGCCAAGATGCATAGAAAATAATTTTGGTGAGAATCATACCATCTATTAGGATTAGAAAGGGTCCATATTGATAAAAATATGGCCAAAGATGCATTTTAAAGAGTTCCACAGAAAGTTTTGGAGCCAAGCAATAAACAGCAATGATATAAAGCAGCGTCACACTACTGTTTAACAAAAAATAATTGATCTAAGTTAGTAACATTTTGAAAGGAATTCTTTCACTGGACAATGTCTTGAGCTGCTTCCTTGACCATATTTCCTCATTTTTCCTATCAACACTAACATAAAAAAAAAGAGTAACAGAAGATATAAACGCAACTCCATCTTAAATTCACTCTCTCATGGATGTTTCCCCACCAAGAATCTCTTAACAGGTCATTTTACATGACTTGTGCTGTAATATTCAAACACAAAGAGTAAATTATGGATGGAGTTTCAACCTTAATCACATTTCCTTACTTAACAGATTTGTCAGAATCTTACCTATATCTGAAAATGTTTTTGTAGTATAAATAACAATACTACCACCATCTTTAATCTAAATTTAATTTTGAAAAAGTATTTAATACAGGAATTATAATCATGTTACCACATAACATATGACACACAAAAATTCCTTAACATAGTTTATGGACAGTAGGTCATACATACGTCCTTTACAGGTAATAAGTCCCCCCTTTTAAGTAACTGGATTTAGTTTCATTTTGCTCAGTTCTTGCATTATATTTCCCATTGTTTTACTTGTAAAGTGTAAAAACACCTTGACAATCTGAAGTTTGGGATGAACACTGAGCCATGCAATAGTAGACAGACAGCCTTACAGCGAAGCAAACCTCTCAAGTGCAGCAACACACAGACTAAGTAACAACAGTTGGACATTGTGTTAGCAACCTTTTATCTAAAAATGTTACCAATGGCAAAAAGTAAAGGTATAAAGGTAATGTAAATTAAATAAGTTATAAAACTGATCCTTACCTTTGTATCTGTTATATAATTGTTCTAATTTCTTTCTGTCTACTGAATTTTTCATAGATTCTTTGTAGTACAAGTCTGGGTTCTGGAAGTAGTTGTCTGTTGCCACTTCTAGTTTCCACTCATTCTGCATTAAGCAGTATATAGCAGTCCTTTCACCAGCCTGGGTAAATGCCATAAACTGGCGGACCTTGTCCTTCTGAGACGATTTAAGCTTATGCTTTGGGATGCAAAAGAAGCAGGAAAGCCAATGAAGCTAATCCAGAAGTTTGTTTCAGCACTCTACTATTAATGTCTATCTTAAAAAGGGGCTTAAATTTCTTGGTGTGTGGCATCTCCCACTTCAGAATTACAGAAAGACAAAGCCTTGTTCTTCTGCAGTTAAAGACAGCATTTTCTTCTGAAAACTGAAATGCCAGCATTTCTAAACACACTTTCAGCAGCAAATATTTTGGCAATAATAAATTCCGATCACTGTTTTACTTGCACACACAGAAACATTTTTTAAAAAGTGTCTGACCTCTATATGTTCCATTTCCTGTAAGGTTTAAAACTTATTTGGTTAAAAACTCTAACCTCCCCACCCCCGCAAAAAAAACCTGAAAGCCCACTATGACTTTGACCAGTATGCTAACATGCTGAAAGTAAGTCTATGATTAATAAGTTCATGATAACAAAAATTTTCAAAAACATGACTCTCTCAAATTTGAGATTGTGTCTGTAAAGGCCTTGTAAAAAACTGAGTTTTTACTCTGAATAATCTTAAGAGTTTTCCTATTTTTTCCAGCACTAATGAACAATACAATATTTTCCAATTGACATTCAATCTGAATGTCAGAAACAATTAGAAACAATTGTTGCTCCCAAGTTAATTTAGAAGAATACACAACTCCTAAAGCAAAGTTAGAGATTTGCTCTAACTTATGAAACTAAAAAGTTCTTGTACATCTAACCAAAAGCTTTAATACCAGTACCTCTTCTATTCTTATAATGTATTAACTGCTGTGCAATAATCAGAAAAAACAAGGATTTACAGAAACCAATAAATGTTTTTATTAACTGCAGTAAGCCAATGCTCTACAACAAGCCAGAGCATACTGTTGGAGAACAGGAAAGTGGAGTTAAAAGATGACAAAAAAAGGTATGAAAGTGTTTTACAACTGCTCTCTGCAATACTTTTTGCTCCTTTCTTTTCTTTAATATTTCTTGCTTTTGTTAACTGATAGGTTTTACAAGTTATCTTGTGGGGACATAACTAAATCTTAAATTTTAAATCAACAAGCATGTATAACATTAAGCAAAGACTTTCTAATCTCACAGCATTAGAAAAAGCTATCACTTATACAGTTTTCAATATTATACTAGTCTGACTGTACATACAGTTACTATTTACTGATTATCCCTTGTAAATACTAAACACGGTGACCCTATTAGAATGTTATTGCAGTTGGTCATAGAAGAGACCTGAATCATGCACCCAACATGCACATGTAGCTTTTCTTTGAAATGTAGGTCCGACGATTGAAAAACAGTGATGAAAACAAACCTGGAAACAACTTTGATTGCAATGACGGGGAAAAAACCAAAACAAACCTATAATAGATTTTACAAAGGCATTTTGAAAGGACTTTTCCTACTCCAGTTCAGAAAATGACTTACACTTGTGTCAAGACCCCCTCAGGGAAACGGAAATATCTGAGCTCCCAACTCAAATCCTGCATGGCTCACGCAAGATCCCAATGAACAACAGGTGACTCGGCACAAGGACAAAAAAATCAGCTCTTCGCATGCGCAAACCCACCAACCCCACCTCACCTGCACTGGGCTTTGCTATATCAAAAGGAAACCCTCAACTCCTGCAAGACAGAGACAAAGCCCGGTCAATGAACTTATTCCATCCCGTACCTGGCCGACGCTCACCTGTCTCTGTGCCTTTTCTAGAGGTGTAATGGGGGGCAGGGGGCACCATGACAGCCTAGCGCAGGCAGGGGGGCAAGTTCTAACCTGGACAAAATGAACTACGCCAAACTGGAGACTTCACCACGCCTTCAAGCTCTCCTGTGTAACAGGAATTTTCATTTCCACCTAACTTTGACAATCTCTGTTCTCTTCCTGATGAAGGGGGTGCACCCAAAAGCTTGCAAAGAAATAAAATAATTTGTTTGCAAAGATCTCATTGGTCTAATAAAAGATATCACCTCTTACACCAGCTTTGATGCCTCTTGAAAAAGAATAAATAAAAAGAGATGCCTACATGTCACCCCCCCTGCCACCTCCTGGGCCCACCCTGAGGAGCCCCTGAGGAGCAGGTGGGTTTCCCTGCACCCTTGGACTTCAACCAGAGGCAGACACAGGCGCTGCAAACACCAGGCGATGCCTTGAGGCCAGGAACTGGGACCAGCAGGGGCTCCTCCAAGCAGTGCCCAGGGACCCCAGAGA